AAGAAGGGGAGGGAGGATATATATTAGGAAATAGTTTGCAATATCTACCACCTGCTTTCCCAGTCTTAAGCTAAAGGACACCAGTGCTTTTCAAGCATGATGTCTGGAAGAGGCCCTCAGAAAAGGTCAAGGACTTGTGGGCATGTCCAGAGGCCTGGAAATGCTGGTCTCTGGGCTGTAAGTAGATCCTCTGCATCATACCAACAAAGTCTCCTCAGAATTAAACTACCAAGGAAAGAAAGATAAGGGAGGAGAAGGTGAAATTATTAAAATTCTGGCAGTTGATCAGGTGTGTAAACAATTGTATTGTGAGCAATTTGGCACAGATGTGCAGAAGAAGTCCCTCGAAGTCAGTTCTTAGTCTATCGCAGAAACATACCCACAAGGCCCATAAACACAAACGCATGCACTCCTCTACCCCTCTACTACCCACCTTCAACACACACACACACACACACACACACACACACACACACACACACACACCTTATAAACCCACAGTCTTACAAGCTCACAGCTAAAATTTCCCAGACTGATGCCATGACTACATGTAATGGACTTGGTGACAGACAGCTCTTATTTCAGAAATACTGCCATTTCATAAAAGAAGATTTGTATAAACCAACAACAAAAATATGTAAAAATTCTGTTGTCCAAGACTTTCTTTGGAAGGGCAAGGCATGACATATATGAGGAGAAAGAATTTCCCTCCCCGACACCCAAATCCTCTGTCACTGAATTGAGAATATAATTATTTGACCTTTGCTTTAAAAGGAGCTTTGAGAATTAGCGACAGCCCTTTCGCAGACCTGGTGAACCAACTAATCTGACTGCCAGCTAACTTGTTGCTGTGTATTGGGAAAAAAAAGTTTGCAGATAATCAATCTCTACATAGTAGGTCAGTTAATGGCAGGTAAACATGATTTAAAACATCCATTAATTGGAACACTCAGAAAAATTTAGATTTTACTCATAAATACAGAAATGATAAGAAAGCCTAGCTCTTTTTGTCAAGAAAGTGAAGTTAATTGTTTATTTTAATTGCAAATTGTGATGAATTAACAACAAAAAAAGTTGATTTCTTGCCTGGAAATAGATGCTGAATCTTAGGGAACTAAATTAGAAATTGCTAATGCAGAAGAAATGGAATATAGAACAACGTTCACCAAATATTCAATTTGTTCTTCTGCATTTCTTAGTTCCCTCACAATTAGGTTCAAGCTCTGGACTAGTTTTACCCAATAAAGTGTGAACAGATTTACAGGATTATCAGTCAGTGGTCAATTATTTTTGCCAAGAGTATTTTTTATATTTATTTATTGAACTTGATGTGCATGTGTGGCTGGTTGTATGCACATACATGCACTGCACAAATGTAATATCCAAAGAGGCTAGGAGAGAGTATCTGATCCCCCAAGAACCAGAATTACAGGTGGTTGTGAATCACAATACAGCTGGGAATTGAACCCAGGTCCTCTGCAAAAGAAGTATATACTCTTAACATCGGAGCCATCTCTCCAGCCCAAGTAGCTAGTTCTTTTATTTATTTTTTCTTTTCTCTATGGCCAAGGAGTCTTCATAGTCCATACACTAGATCTATAAAATGATGCAGCCTCCCTCCTGGATTCCTGCATGACCCTACGGAGCAGAGTGCTGAGGGACCCATGAGGGACACATCACAGGAATGATAAACTTTGTTATGCTCTGTAATGAGATTGCCTGTAATGAGGTTATCACAGCACAACCAAGCAAATCCTGATGCAAATAAGGAGTAAGCAATTGCACACTTGGGGATAGCCTGTGTTGGAAATTAAAAACGGAACAACCACAACCCTTCAAAATTTCTACTTTGTCAATAGCTTTGGGAGCAAGAATCATGTTTGAATTAAGTAGACATACTGATAAAAAATGTTCTAAGCTTAATTCCAGCTCTGCTCTTTCAAATTCCAAAAGTGTTTCTGAACTGTGCAACTCTAGAACATTTTTTGGTCCATCAACCAAGTCTATAGAAATGCTTTTGTTCATTTGTCTTTATCAAGCTATTTTTACCACAGATTTGCATAGAGCATTAGAGTGTGTAGGCTCCTCTCCGAATGGCTGGCCTGTGGGTTTTCTATGGGGCCTTGAATTGTTGTAGGCCAGGTCTTTGATGGAGAGAATTATACTAGTTTAGGAAGAATATATTTCATAGATTTTTCCAAATTGTATAATATATTGTGACCTTAATTATGACCCCAACTGTAAAATGTTAACTAGACAAATTAGGAAAACTGAGAATGATAATCAGCTAACTATCTCAAATAATGAGTTGATGGGAGCCCATGTTAAACCACTGAGAGAAGGGCTCCCACTGTCCTTAACTTGAGCACTCAGATGTCACCTGGATGAACTCAAGGGTATGTGCTATTTCCCTGTTCTTCTCAGAGCCCCAAGACCTGAAGCTATCCACTGAGAAAGAAGTAATATTGAGCAAGTGCCCATATATGTGCTTTCCAGAATACATGTCCATTTTCCAGACACAGCAACTGAGTCTGAGCAGATAGTAACTCAAGGGACAGGGTAGGACCCAATCTAGGCTGGCACTTCAATTGTATTACATGGCAACCCTCAGCAGCATATGAATGAGTCTGCATGCTCTATGCATTTTGGTGGGAAGTGCTAATGAAAATTGATACTGTTTTATTTTTAACTAAATACTGTAATTATTGGTGTAAATGGATGTCTAATTCCACAATCTTGGTAGGCAAGATGTAAAGATTTTGGAGAAGTTCTGCTTTTAGAATGAAAGAAACAATAAGGCAAATTCATGAGGTAAGACATCAAGCTAATACAGCACAGTTCGTCATAATGGCTAGGGACATGCCAAAGGTTACACTGGAAACTTGTATCGGCACAGTGGGAGACAGTTCTCCATTCTGCTCTATATAGAGATTTTGCTCCAGAGCAATGCTTATTAAATTTTATTGAGTTTCACTTTTATTTTTAAAATGTGATTAGCAAAGGAACACAGACAAAGCATCTAACTACAGCACTTCGATTTTATTCTTTTTTTAAAAAATTAATTTAGATATAATGGCACTTTTTTCCCTTTGAAACATAATCCCAATAAGTAACACCTCTCCTGGCTTATTTTGTTTATTCAGCCAGTTTATTCTTGCTGTGTGAGAGTTATATTCCTTTTACCTTCACTTTCAATTCCTGCTATGTCAGGAATTGAATAGCTTACAGAGGTTAGGACAGGCAGGGGCAGGCTAAGAAAGCTAAAACTGGGGAGAGGATCTTTCCTTTTCATTAACACACTGCCAATTCTATTCCTATTAAGTAAAGACCAACATTCTATCTTCTCTTGGGGCAAGACTACCTGAGATTTTGATCCCCTCATCCCTGAACAAGAAGTGAGGATTTCCCTCAGCGGTTTGCTCACTTACCCTGAGATAAGCCTCTTCTCTTCTCTTGCCCTGGAACATAAACACTATCATCCCCTAGCATATCCGAAAAAGTATGGGAAACAATACCTTAAAAAACAAACTTAATTATTTTTATCTTAAATGTTAAATTACTTCAAATAAACTTAACTTTCAAAATGCAAGGTGGGGTAGGGTGAGGTGGCCCAAGTCTTTATTTAATCCCTGTACTCAGAAGGCAGAGCAGGCTGGTCTCTGAGTTCCAGAACATCCACACCTACATAGGAAGACCCCCATCTCAAATGCAAAGAAGAGGACCAAAAAAAGAAAAAGATTCAAGCTGTGGTTTTTAATCTTCATTTTTCAACATTGCTGGCTTTGGAATCATTAACGAGTTCTATCTCTGGGCATCTGTGAGGACATTTTCACTTTAAAAGAGAGAAAAGATGCTTTAAATGCAGGCAGTACCACCTAGTGGGACAGAATAAAGAGAAAAGAAGAGGAATCTAGTTGAGCACCAGCATTTGTTCCTCTCTTTACCTGACCACAAAGGTGGTGTGACACACCTCTTGACCTGATGGACAGTTTCTCCACTGTGTGTGAACCAAACCAAACCCTTCCCTCCCTTGGTTGCTTGTGGTGGGTATTTTGTTACACTAATGGAGCACAAATTCTAAGTGGTCTTAATAATAAAACCCAGAGTCAGATATCGGGGTAAATGCTGAAAGATCAGAGAAGTAAAGAAGCAGCCAAAGTCATCTCTCACCTCTACAAATCCTCCTATCAAAAAGGGCCAAGCTCCTGTCTCCACCTGCCTTATATTCCTCTATCTGCCCAGCCATATCACTTCCTGTCTGTCTGTACAGACCTCCAGATGTCTATGGTTAACTAAAGGCTAGCTCCACCCTCTGATCTTCAGGCAAGCTTTTTTTGTCAGAGCACAAACAAAATATCTTCATATTTCCCCCTTTTTGTCTAAAATTAAAAAAAAGGTTATAACTAATATAAAAGAAACTATATACAATAAGTATAATAAGTATACACATATGGCAAAAATATATATAGCAATAATTATATCAACCATTAACAATTGACAAATTCAGAGAAAATACTCCACTACCTATTCTATCTTGATGAGTCCAAAGGTTTGTACTTAAAACACTTTCTATTCTAACTTGCATTGCCAAAACTGTCTTTTAATGTCTCTCAACCCTATAAACTTTACACTTCTTTAGCGAATTTCTTTTCTGAATCTGGTAACAAGAAAAACTGTAACTGTAACTATAAAGTCTTCAACTCCCTCAGAGACCCGAGAAGGAAATAATATTACCTGAGTGAGCAGGAAGTGTAAGCAAGCAACTTCCAAAAAAATGTGAGAAATGACAGAAATAGCTGGCTGCCTGGAGAGTCACCCAAGGTTCCTCTGCAGTGTTGGGGCATCCATCTTCAGCCTACAGGCCTAGCATATCTGACAGACTTTTCTGAGAAGCAGAATCTTCTGAAGGGCTGTACTACCTTGTCTTGGCAAAGTTTGGCAGTCACTTTTTTTTTATGCCCTGCTTGTCCAATTTGGACATCATACTGTCAGCAGTCGAGGCAAAGGTACTTTCTTGCCTAGTGGCTAACTTTGGCAATGAAGAAAGAAAACTCCATATGGAGTTTCTTTGACACCCATCATCTTCTCTGAAGTAGACTGGTACTGCCAGCAACAAACATGTCTCATTGTCATGAAAAAAAAAAAAAAAAGAACCTCATTGTCATAAAAAAAAAAGAACCTGTGTTATTAAAACATCTTAAATGACATATTCTGTAGATCTCTGAAGTGTTTGAAGACCACCTGTCTACCTAAAATATATCTCTTTGACCTTGAAAACATAACTAATGTGAATACAAGTTTGATTGTAAATAGGTGACTAACTGCTGACCTTCATTTCTTTATCATCCTAAATAGTGTGTAATAATAACTTTCAAGGACTAGAAATGTGCATTACATTGTTAAAGGAGCTGTATAGGTACAATACTTGAATAAGAGTAGAAATGTATGCACAGTATGTTCTAACAAAATAATCTCAAATTTGTATCAATATACAAAATACAAAAATCCTAGCCAATGTAAAATATTTAAAACAAGTAGTTGCTTTTCAAAAGTAGATTCAATAACCTACCCTTTTATCCATCTTTAGGGAATCCTGAAAAGAAAATTGGGATTAATTGTCAAGTCCTGGGAGAGGTAGCTGTATCATTTGTTGTCCAGTCTCTGTATAATCGGAAAGTGCAGAGCTTATCTCAAGTCTTGACTAGAGTAGTCTGTGAGGCTTGATAATCTCAGCTAGCCATCTTGAAATTGTCCTGAGGAGTTTGTAGTCCAAAGCTGATCTTTAGGTGGTGTTTGTCAGCTTAGTAGTGTTATCATAGTCCTGGTGGAATAGTCATTGTGGGGTCCCATCATCTTTTTGGAGACTTCAAAGATCACTGTTAAGCATGGTCTTGGTTCACTGAAGAAAACAGAACATTTTAAATGTCATATTCAGCAGATCTTGAAGCGGTTAAAGGATCAATATTTGTTACACACATTCAGAGTACAAAAACCTAATTCCTAGTTAACTGATAGAGACTCAAACCCAAAATCATGTACAGAAAGCTAGATGAAGTCTTTTTCTAGCATTAATTCATACTCTATATGACCATTAATATCATGGCAAGAAGATATATATATATCTTATTAATTTTGAGATAATATTCATACCTTAAGAAAAGTTTTAAAGAGTCAAAATAAAACCAAAGGAGTATGAGATTAGTGGCAATAGAATAGTACCTAGTGGCTTTTCTTCTGTCCCATATCAGGTGGCTCTTCTGACATGAGTTAGAGATTTTGGATTTTACTTTAACAAGCCTGCTTGGGTTTAAAGAAGGAGCGAGATACACTCCAACTCCAAAGCCAGTTTTAGTTTTCAATTGAATTGGGACTACAAAAAGACCATTTGCCTTATGTGTCTATAGAGAACAGCAGAAACAAATATTTTGGAAGATTTATGAAATTTTATCCTTTGAAAACGTGATATATCAATGGGCCAATTTAATCCTTTTCTTGGGACATTTTTTTTTCTGGATGATTTGTCCATTTTCTTCACATGTCTCATTTGTCCAGTGGTCTTCAGATTCCTTACCTGGATGCCTTAATTCTCCTGAAAAGACAAAAACAAAGCCCTCCCCCTACTCTAATTTTGGAGAGGTTCCCTTATGGCAAGTTATATCTGATCAAATGAAGGGCATTTGTTAGTTCATAGTTAGTTTAGATTGAACAGCTACACTATTTAATGAACTGTCGCCTCTTCTAATCAAGAGATCTCTCTTGTTCAAATCTAATCTTTACCAATTTTGATGGTATTCATAGCTTTTCTTCTCCTGTGGAAACAAAAGTAAAACCTCTTCCTGGTTTCCATTCTGAGGTCAGCACATCTTTAAAGTATACAGGTTAATTTAATTTTATGTTTTTTTTTTTATTATCCAATGTCTCTCAGTAGCAGTTGTTCCTTTCTCATTAGCATTTAGAAAATTCATACTTAATAAAGCATTATGCAATCTGTTTCTGGAGGTCTTTCTCATCCCTTTCTGTTTACTTAGCATATTCTCTAGAGTTCAATTTGTTCTTTCTATGACTGCTTGGCCTGTAGGATTATGTGGTGTACCTGTAATATGCTTTATATTGTAATAAAAAAACTGTTTCATTTTACTAAAGACATATGCTGGAGCATTGTCAGTCTTAATTTGTAGAGGTGTATCCATGATGGCCATAATCTCTAACAAATGTGTGATTACAAAATCAACCTTTTCAGAACTCAAAGCAGTTGCCCATTGAAATCCTGAATATGTATCTATGATATGGTGCACATATTTTAATTTTGCAAATTCTGCAAAACAAAACACATCCATCTGCCAAATTTCATTCCTTTGAGTACCTTTTGGGTTACTTCCTGCAGGTAGTAGAGTTTGGTTATATAAAGAACAAGTGGGATGTTTCCTTATAATTCCTTGGCTTATTGCCAAGTGATGGAAAAATCTTTTTTCAAGCCTTTGCTATTGATATAGTGATTTTTTTTATGAAACTCCAAGGCCTCCAGCGCATTTCCTATCAATAGTAGGTCATTTTTATCATTACCTTATGCTAGAGGGCCTGGCAGACCCATATGGGATTTGATGTGTGTTATACATAAGGAATGATTCCTATTCCTGATTATTTCTTGTAATCACATAAATAACAAGGTGAATTCTGACTCATGAGGAATAAATTCAGCAGTTTCAATGTGTAAAACAACTTTTTCTGCATACTGAGAATCAGTAACTATGTTAAGAAGTTCTGTAAAATCTATTAATACCATGAGAATAGGTATTTTCAAGTAAATAGCCCAGTTTTCCACTGATAATTTTTCTTCATCTGCAACCTCATGAACTCCAGCTTTCTGTCTTCCAAATCCTAGTGTCTGTACTGAATGCCCTCTGGAGTTTACACACTTGAAGGTCAGGCACCACTGTGGGCTCTGTGTGAACACTCATTCAAATACATCTTATTATATAAAACACCAAATACATCTTAAATGTATAGCAATTTTTCTTCTATAGCTGAGAATTTTTCTATTTTCTAATCTTCATTTTCCCCTGACCTGCCTAGAATTTGGGGGCTTGTAGATGCTATTTTAATATTTCAGTTTTGCTTAGACTTTTCTTGATATTTCATTCAGGGTGTTTTCCTATCTCACCAAAATAACACTCTCAATTTTCACGAGAGATTGTTAAAACAACAACAACAACAACAACAAAAATTTGTACTCTAGCTCTAAATTCTTCTACAGAACATAGTTTTATGAAGAAATAGATTCTAAAATGGTCCCTTCTAGAGCATGCTTAGCATCTCAAGTTAGCTAAGGCCACCTGAATAAGGCCCTAGTCACTGAGAAAGGAGTTGGTAGGGGACTAGAGAGATGGTTCAGTGGTTAAGAGCACTTGCTACTCTTGCAGAGGACCCAGGTTTGGTTCCCAGCATCTACATGGTGGCTTATAACCATCCATAACTCTAGTTCCAGAGGATTCAGTGCTCTTTTCTGACCTCCATAGACATCACACACACACACACACACACACACACACACACACACACACACACACTTCTCATATGTACATACAAGCAAACATGCATACATTTCATACATAAATAAAAAATTTAATAAATAAAATAATTTTTTTTTAGTTTAAAAAGAAGTTGATGGGTTGCTTTATTTTACCTGTCTGTGTCTCTTCAGGGGAATCAGAATCTTGGTTTCCAGGTTATCTGAGAAGGCAGGTGATACTACCATCCAGCTTTCATGACTGTATATATCATCTTGTGCCCCAGACTCTTTTCTTTTTAAACCTCCATCTTTTCCATACTGACATTGTAAATGATTGTTTTCTAGCCATCTTGGGGGAATGATGGTTTGTTTTTCTTTTACTTAGTTTCAAGAAAAAAAAGTTCAAACTTTGAAAGAAAAACAAGGCTGCAGACTTTCAGCATGCCTTTGTTCTGGAAAAATACCAAACCAAACCAAACCAAAGAAACAACCAGACCAAACCAAACCAAATTTTTCCCCTCTCTCTCTGTCTTGACCTTGAAATTGTCAGAGAAAAGCTGGTCTCTGTCAGGACAGATCTTGTCCTGAACAGAGCTTCTTTTTATGGTGTCTTCTCATATTCTCAAATTGAAGCCGGGAAGGATTAACATAGCGTTTTATTTAAGTCGCCAGAATCTAAACCCAAAAGTGAGATGGTCAACCAAAAAAATGGGGAGTCTCCAAGGGTGGGGAATTAAATATTTTAGTTATAATGATAGGATGGTTTCTGGTTGTGCCAAGTGGTCATGCCATCTACCCACAGATCTTTTTAGTAGGGAGTGAACTAAGAACCATCCAGCTAGGCAAGTGTCCCAGGATAGACTGCTCATCCATCTTCATCAGAGAAGAAAGCAGAGGAGGGCAAGCAAAGTCTCTTTGAAAGGCTTGTGGAAAACCTGAAACACATCACAGGAGAACAAACAGTGAGCAATCTACTTAGGAGACCTGGCTAGATTCTCATTACAAATCTGTTAAGACCTAAGGGCTCAGGTTCTGCCACCAGCCAATGCTCCAGCTGGACCTAATGGGAACACAAGATTGATAATGGCTCTCTCAATTGCTCAAACTCAAAAGAGAAGGATTTTTTTTCAATATAAAAGTATACCTTAGAAGCTTTCCCTTCTGGGTTGGGAAGATGGCTGAGTAGGTAAAATGCCTGCCACACAAGCTAGAGGAACTGAGTTCGGATTCCTAGTGTGCAGATAGATAGAAGCCTGGTGGTGAATGCCTGTAATTCTAGTGCTAAGGTGAAGGTAGAGAGAGAATGGCGCCTAGGCTTCTTTGACCATCTAAGCCAAATACCACCTTCAGGTTGAGTGAGAGATCCTATCATGAAAAGTTAGGTGGAAAAGTAATTGAGGAAGACACATCAAAGTCAGCTCCTGGTCTCCACACATAAGGATGTGGGCAACCATACATATAGAATCGAGTGCCATGTCTATGTCCTTCCCCTGACCCCTTGTAAGCATGCACACACACACACACACACACACACACACACACACACACACACACACACACACACTGCTCCTTCTGTCTGTGTCTTGATTGTTTTCCCCACCTACTAAACAATTATGATCCAAGAAATATATGGCTCTTTATTGTTTTCCTGACTTCAACTTCACCTGGACAGCCATTTCTTTGTGTATTTCCAAGTCATTCATCTGTCATCTTTGCACTCTACTTTTATTATTGTACATACCACATAAAAATACTACATTCCATGCAAGAGTTTTCTCCTCCTAGCTCTAATATTGCCATTCTTTTGTAAAATACATGACTTGTCAGTGTGACATCTCTCCTACACTGCCAGTGTTAAAAACATCATCACTATTTATCAAGCACAGGTCAACAAGTACTCTCCTATCATCCCATTGGTAATGGTTAACCTTTATTGCCAACTTTACCAGATTTAGAATCACCTAGGAGACACATCTCCAGATGTGCCTCTGAAGGCACTTTCTGATAAAACTAACTGACAAGCAAAGACCCATCCTCTAAGTGGATGGTACCATCCCATTGAGGTTAGTCTATGGTGAATTCAGCCCAGACAGAACAAGGGGAAAAAATAGAGAGAGCCAGATGGATCTGAACTTTTCTCTTTCCTTAGTTCCTGATATACAGAGATGTGAGCAAGCAGTATCCTATTGCCATAACAATATCTAGTCTCACCATCATGCCTTCTCTGCCATGACAGACAGTATCCCTTTAACTCTGAACCAAGATAAAGTTTTCCTCTTTTCTATGCTTCTTGATAAATACTTGATCACAGCAACAAGAAAAGCAACTGATACCACAGACAAACTGTGGCTGTGGTTCCCCGAACACATGGTTTGTAGGCTTCTGGAACTGATTTCTAGGAGGAATGTGGAAGACTTTGGACCTGTAAGGTAGAGAAGTCCTAGAGTGTTGGAAGCAGAGAGTAATGAGCCATGCTGGTGAGATATCAGAAGACCAGAATGTTCACAGAAATCTGGAGAATGGAGTCTGGGTTCATGAATATCCAAGTGAGGCAAGTATGCTGATTAGAATTAAAATACAGACCACTGATGTTATATTCTAGCAAAACCAAACAGACAACCCAAAACAATAAATCTTGTCCTCATTCTGCCTCAGTGCTGACAACTTGAGTGAAGTTGAATTCAAAGTGATGTTAGTGGTTCTCAACCTGTGGGGGACAAACAACCCTTCTACAGGGCTCGCATATCAGCATATCAGATATGTACATTCATAACAGTAGCAAGAGTACAGGATTAAATGCTATGAAAGTAGCAACAAAATAATTTTATGATTGAGGGACTGTGTTAAAGGGTGACAGTGATAGGAAGGTTGAGAAACACTGGACTAAGTTGTTTGAAGAAATTTCAAGATAGCACAGTCTACAGACTACGACATGGTTATTATTCTCTGCATTTACTTATGAGTATAGTGAGAATTCAAGCTAGGAAATTATGAAAAATATACAGTTTGAAATGAATGTGAACATTGTTAAAGTTGCAGACAAGGTAAGTGTGGAAAAAGTACCTGTAATTGCTAAAGAAACTGGCTTTACTGGAATGAAAACTCGGCTTTTGCCTGGGTACAATATAAAAAAACCCTTCACCCATCAAAGGCCTCAGCTTATAAAACTGTGACTTAAGAGTGCCACCAAAGTCATGCCCTTGTTGAAAATGTTTACTTAGGGTCCTAGATTCAGCCATAAAGGCATACAGAAGCCATGGCACCTATGGGCCAAGGGAGACAGTTTACATCTTGAGCTGGCAACAAAACTTAGTGTCATTGTCCATGTTGCACTGACTTTGTAGGCACGTAAAATATAAGACCAAGGGGTTAATGGAGGACTCATCAAGGTTCCAGAAAGCTGTGTCTAGGCAATGTGGTCCAGAGTCTATTTCCCTCCCTTCAAGGAAGCCTTCATTGCCTGAAGTTGTCAAGATGAAGCCTAAGTTATAATGGAGATTCAGGGATATTCGAGATGCCAGAAAGGTGAGATAGTCACTAAGGGAACCTGCAGGCACTGAGTGAAGCTGTTGAGAGAGACCACATATGCCACAGGCAACAAAGATAGAGGTGTAGGGCTACCCAAGGCCACTGATGCATAGATGATGCCACCTGTAGTCCCAGATGCTGAACACAGATGCAGAATCTGAGGTTTCAGGCTCACTTTGGCCTGGTATTGCCTTGCTTTTGGAAGAGACTGTTTACTCCCTACCATTGTTTATTGAAGTATACAGTTTGTTTTTATTTTTTCAAATACGCACAGGTAAGAGATTGCCCAAGTCTTAGTAGCGAGTCTACACTTAGACATTTAAACAATCCTGGAACTCTTAGACTTTGTAGACCTCTAGAGATTGACTGTATGCATTTTTCATTATGAAATGCACCAGAAACTTTAGGGGCAAGAGATGTAATGTTACACTTTAGAGTAATGCACTTGAGCATTGTCTTACTCAATGTTCTTTTGCTGTAAAGAGATACCACGACCATGGCAACTCTTATAAAGGAAAACATTTAATTGGGGATGACTTACATTTCCAGAAGTTTAATCCATTATCAGCATGACAGGAAGCATGGTGGCATGCAGGCAGACATGGTGCCTGGGGAGCTGAGAGTTCTACATCTGGATCCACCAGTAGCAGGAAGAGAGAGACACTGGATCTGGTTTGAGCATTTGAAACCCCAAAGCCCACCCCCAGTGGCACACTTCCTCCAACAAGGTCACACCCACTCCAACAAGGCCACACCCACTCCAACAAGGCCACACCTTCTAATCCCTGTCAAGTAGTGCCACTCCCTGATGACCAAGCATTCAAAGATATGAGCCTATGAGGGTCATCCTATTTAAACTACCACAAGCATCAAGTTGACATGGGTAGAATTGTGATGGTTAATCTTCATTACCAACTTGACTAGATTAAGAATCCCCTAGAAGCCAGGTGAGGAGGCTTAAATGGTGGCTCTGGCATGCCATTCTAACACTAGTGAGGCAGAGTAAGAGAACTGCAGGAAGTTCAAGGCCAGCCTGTTTTATATTGTGAGTTCTGGGCCAACCAGGGCTAGGAAGGTCCAACTGGAAAAAAACTGAAACAATCAAAAACACAAAGGTAATCTAGGAGATATATATCTAAAGGTATCTATGAAGGAATTTTCAAGGGATTAGCCAAAAAGGAAGTATCCACCCTGGAGTGGGTCACACTGTCTCATGGATTGGGGGCTGGATTAATTACATTTTTATTGCTATGATCAAACATCATGGCCAAAGCAACTTCCAAGAGCAAGGGTTGATCTGGGGCTTACCATTCCAGAGGGAGAGGTCCATCACTATCATGGTTGGGAAACATTGCAGCAGGCAGACATGGCACTGGAGCTGAAGCTGAGAACTGAGGGCTCATGCCTCAAATAACAAACAGGATGGAGGAGGGGAGATGGAGAGAGAGAGAGAGAGAGAGAGAGAGAGAGAGAGAGAGAGAGAGAGAGAGAGAGAACTGGAAACAGTGCATGACTTTGAAACCTCAGAGTCCACCACAGTAACTCTGGAGGTCTGCCCTCAAAGGGGATTGTGGGGCCCTGGTCTCCGGCTCTTTCCTTTGACTTCCTGGATCCCACAGAGTCATCAGCTCACCCTGCTTCTTGTTCCTCACCACTACAGACTGCCTCATTACCGACTGAGACGCTCAAAATTGTAAACCAAAAGAAACATGTTAAAGCAGACTATTTCATATATTTTAGCACAGCAATGGAAAGCTGACTAACAAGCAGTTCAGCCAAATAGGATTTCAATATAATTTAAATCGTGTAAATGAGCATCAGAATATAATAAGTTACCTGCCATTTGCCATTCATTCAATCTTTGTTTCTTAAGCACCTACTTATATTAGGTCCTTGTAGAGATTCCTGCCACCCCGAAGCATGTATTCTAGCAGACAGAGACATATAATAACCAAATAATAATGGTTAGATTTAGGAAATAT